CCAGAGCCTTTAAAATAGAGTTCTACTCCCTAAGGCTCATGAAGTAGGAGGAATGTACAAACCTTTCTAAAGTCTGTGGATCCTTTGGTCAATGCTCTAATCTCTCTGCCACTCTCCCTTTCTCTTTTTAATATTTCTCACCAGGGTATGGGAATATTGCTCCAAGCACTGAAGGAGGAAAAATCTTTTGTATTTTATATGCCATCTTTGGAATTCCACTCTTTGGTTTTTTATTGGCTGGAATTGGAGACCAACTTGGAACCATCTTTGGGAAGAGCATTACAAGAGTGGAGAAAGTCTTTCGAGTGAGTACTGCATCATATTTAAACCCTGACTGCTGTGATCCAGTCGGCGTTAGCCTGTCAGGATCCAGAGGCATTATCAGGGGCATCATCTGCTTTCAATGGAATGGTTTAATGTCACGATCCTGTTTTCTATTTTGGCCAATGGCAGTCAGAGATATTGTGCCTAAATTCCCTTCTCTTGAATAGCTTCCTACTTTAGAGTGGTATTTCTGGAATCACAACACAAGAGGGTTAAGTATGGATTTGCCAACACAGACTTTATGAAAAGGTGAGACAAACTCAGTTTCTTCTTAAAAATGGAAGATGAGTTCCTTATTGTGTTTGCAATGAAGTAGAAAATTGTGAATCCATCCATTTTGCTATTGGAACTCCTTCACTCCATTTTATTTCCTAGTACAGTGTCTTCAGGCTGATCCTGGCTTCTTCTAGAATCCTACCTTCTGCAGACACTGCTCTGTATTTTGCACATGTCTCCTAATGGCCCCTTCCTTTACCCCCTCCCATGCCAAGTGCTTTCTCAGCAGTAGTACCATGATGTACTACTTCATACTAAGGTGTTGATGACTGATATTGCCTTAGAGGGTTTTTTCCTTCTGGGAATATTTATCTTTAAACAAGGGACAAAAATCTCAACTCAAGGACTTTATTTACTAAAGACGGCAATCCTGACATCACTGACAGGCATGTGAAGTAGATGTGTGATTGGACTGGGGCTCCCAATGCCCTTTATCTCACACCCATTTCTATGATTGAACAGAACACTTGTTTTGCTTAAGTGTAAGGTCATTTCTGCTGTTTTATTCAGTATTGACCTAATTCTTAAGTCTTTCAAACCTTCTTCAGAGACTTCTTCCTTTTGATGACTTTGTTTTTAAAAATGGCATATTGAGATCTTTTGCAGAATCTAGCAATAACAGGCAAAGAAAGATCAGTGGTAAACTCTACAGTTCCACTTTTCCCCCTCTAATATAAGAACTCTCAAATTGTGAGTCCAAGGCTCTCTGTCTCTGAGATCATGGCTTATATGTCTCTTTATTTTTTATTTATTTATTTTTTGGAGACCGGCCACACCGCGCTCAGCCAGTGAGCACACCGGCCATCCCTATATAGGATCCGAACCTGCTGCGGGAGCGCTGCTGCGCTCCCAGCGCCGCACTCTCCTGAGTGCACCACGGGCTCGGCCCATACTTCTCTTTAGAAGAATGCAATGGAGTGCCCCAGATGAGCAGTTTCAGGAGTTTATTTTATTTTTTTATTTTAAAAAATTTTATACTATGGTGGGAGGAATAATAATGCACTACAGCACTGCAGCTGGGTTAGGGCCACCATTTATTTATTTATTTATATTAGCATATTCATTATTACAAATTGTAATTATTCTTTATGCCCCTTACCCAACCAATCATTCCCCAATCCCCCTCCCTACCTCCCCCCATCTCTAGTATCCTAGGGTTTGTTCTCTCCTTCTGAAAGTTCAAAGTATTATTGTGGTCCTCCCTTCCTTCCTTCCTTCCTTCCTTCCTTCCTTCCTTCCTTCCTTCCTTCCTTCCTTCCTTCCTTCCTTCCTTCCATCCTT